TAGCCCAGGCTGGCCTCGAACTCACAGAGATCCGCCTGGCTCTGCCTCCCGAGTGCTGGGATTAAAGGCGTGCGCCACCAACGCCCGGCTCCAGGTTTGTTTTTATTAATAAGACTCTTTAAGATTCATGCTATACCCTGGTCTACAGATCAAGTTCCAGGATAGCCAAGCTTAGGCAGTAGGGGAAACCATAGAAAACAGAAAGCTGGTGAAGATGTAATTGATCAAGGAGCCATGTTTCAGTCCCAAAAAGCAGAATAATTTGGCAAATTTAGCTGCACAGTTCTGGCTTTAGAGTCAAGGGTAGAAGGAATCTCCCTCTGCAACTAAAGAAAGCCACTGAGGCCAGACATATGTCAGGGGTGTCCCTGAGTGGAGGCCTAGAGAGGCCACTGTGTGAAGTTGTGAAGATGAAGCCTGGATTTGCCTTGGTTGGAGACCCCAAGATGTTGGAGATGACAAAGCTGTGAGATACCTGTCGAGGAAAGCTGCTAACAGGGAGTGGAACAACCAAGAGAAAGAAAGCTGAAAGGAGTTGGACATCTGAAGAGCACTTTGACATCTGATATGGAGATGCAGAGTTTGGCTTTTGCCCAGATGGTTTTTGGTCTTGCTTTGGTCCAGTATTTCCTCACTGTGCTTTCTTCCCTACATTTTGGAATGGTAATGTATATCCTGTGCCGTTATATGTTCGAAGTATGTGATCTGCTTTTTCGTTTTGATTTTTCATGGGTTATAGTTAAGAGATTGTCTTGAGTGTCAGAGACCTTTAACTGTGGAGACTGTGATTGACTATGGGGACTTTTGAAGATCGACTAAATGCATTTTGTAGTAAACCTATGGGCAGTAGGGAGTGGAATGTGGTGGCTGAATGAAAATGTCCCCCATAAACTCATAGAGAGTGGCATTATTGGTGATGTGGCCTTGTTGGAGTAGGTGTGGCCTTGTTGGAGGAATGTCACTGAGGGCTTTGAGGTTTCAGAAGCTCAAGTCAGGCCTAGTGGGAATGTTTCTTCCTTCTGCCTGTGGATCCAGATGTAGAACTCTCAGCTCCTTCTTCAGCACCACATCTGCCTGTATGCCACCATGCTTCCTGCCATGACAATAATGGACCAAACCTTTGAAACTGTAAGCCAGCTCCAATTAAATGTTTTCCTTTATATAGAGTTGCTGGGACCATGATGTCTTCACAGCAATAAACATTAAAACCAAAGAAGGTGGTGGTTTGGGGCCCCTTCTGGTAAGGATGCATCCTGTGTTGATGAACAGAGGTTCCTACCCACACTTCCATAAGGTTAAGGACTTACAAGTTTAATTCCTGCACAGTGGTTTGCAGGTTTCTACTGATAATCAGTTTTATGGTCAAGTACATTTCTTGTCTTGGTTCACCTGTACTCCTTTTGTGCAAAGCTTGGTCCTTGGCTATTTGAGGGTCAGTGTTTGGAGTGGGAGGATTTCTCATATGAAGTTGGACTAAACTCTAGTTTACCTCTTAAAACTGGGCTTCACAGTGCCACCATTTAGTCTGGCCCATTTCTCTCATTGCATTGGCTGGGGATTCCTTTGATTTTAGAATTTTGGACCTGTGGTTGTTTGAATGTAATTGGCCCCCAGAGTCTCACAGGGAGTGGCACTATTAGGTGTGGCTTTGCTGGAGAAAGTGTGTCACTGTGGGGTGGACTTGAGGTTTCCTATGCTCAGTATACTGCCCAGTGTCTCAGTCAACTTCCTATTGCCTGAAAGATGTAGGACTCTCAGCTACTACTCCAGCACCACATCTGCCTGCATGCAGCCATGCTCCCTGCCATGATAATGGACTGAAACCCTGAAACTGAGCCACCTCAATTAAATGTTTTCCTTTATAAGAGCTGCCATGGCCATGGTGTCTTTTCTCAGCAATAGAAACCCTAAGACAGAGCCTATCTTCAGCAAGCTCAGTGGTTGGCTCAGTAACATTTTCACTTTTGATTTTGCCTAGTCTCTTCTCTAAGCAATGTCTCTGCTATTACTTCTGCAGAGACAGTAATTGCCCAAGGCCCAATCATTTTCTTGGTTTGTGCCCAGGTTCCTTCAGGACAAGGATTAGGGCCAGGCATTCATATTTCCTTGGTTTTGTCTTGGCATCTTTCATTTGAAGGACTAGGCCAGACTCACCTGTCTTCTTGGTTTGAGCCCAGGCTTATTTATGGTGAGGGTTACCCAAGGCATTTCACTTTCATTTGAGGCATTGGCCTGAGCCAGCTTCTCATTTTGGGGACCATTGTTTCTTCAGGGTCACATATGGGCCTGGACCATTTCTCTTCTTGGTATGGACCCTGGTTTCAGCCAGGAAAGGGGTCAGGCCTGAGCACACTCCTTTCCTGCTTTGGCCCAGGCTTCCTTCACTTGAAGAAACAGCCCAGGCCCACATCTCTTCTTTGTTTGTGCCTGGGCTTCTGGAATGGCAGGGCTGGACTTGGGCCAACCTCTCTTCTTGGTTCAGGCCCCAACTTCAGTTATGGTAAGGGTTAGGCCTGGGCATTCTCCTTTTCTTGCTTTGGCTGGGAGTCTTTCATTTCATATTTCTCTTCTCAATTCAGGGTCAGGTTTTGGCTCAGTCCTCTTTCAGTTCATGTTTTTGCCTATACAAACTTTTATTCTTAGTTTCAGCCTAGACCTCTTTGGGTGAAGGTAAAGCCAATGCTTATTGAAGTTCTGGCTTTATTCTCTCTCAGGTTTCATCGGGTTCAGCCTTATGCCCAAGCATACTTTTTGACTTCTTTGGATTCTGGGTTACTTTCTCTTTTGGTTGTTAGCATGTTTTTGTTTGTTTGTTTCAGAATTTATTTGGCCTGGGCTACCTTCGCTGTATGGCTGTATCCAGGCTTTTTTGTGGTTGGGGTTTAGTGTGCGTACATTGATCACCTGGGACTGTCACTACCTTCTTCTCTTTAGGGTTGAGGCTGTGGATTTTTCTGAGTCCAGATTTACCCAAAGCTCTTTTGTCACTGACCTTGATCTTCATTCAGTCTTTCTGGAAAAAAAATTAACAGGTGAATATTGATAGAGGAAAGTCCTGATTGTCCGTCACTGGGATCTCAAATACACACAGAACATTGACATGTCCCCAGGGAAATGTGAACAGACACCAACCCATACAGCACCCAGTCTGGATAAAATATAACACACTACACAAACAGAAAGATAAAATAAGTAGGAGAGAAAGGTGGTTGGGAAAGTTCTTCCTGTTTTGTAGGTGACTGACTGTCATGGAGAGTCCTTATGAACTCATGTGGAAATATTGTTGTTTCCAAGTAGAGAGACCCAAAGAGTGTCCCAACAGGGTGCCATTCAACTTTTCCTCCCTTCTGATACCATGAGGGAATATCCCAGGTAGTTATAGAAACAGCAGAACCCAATCCTCCATTTGTCTGGAGGCTGTCTTGTTGAGGAACATGCAGCTTTTATAGATCTTCACTTGGCTCTTTCCGTAGCATAGTGATGGTTGCTGGGGGATATTCAATCACACTGTGAACCCCAAGTTTTCATTTGCATTGATTAAGTAACATTAACCTTGGGTCAGGAGGCTGAGTTAGCAACTAGTTGACAGAAAGTAGAGCATTGGGGCATCAGAGGGCATCCGGAGAGATGAGGGACACAGGAGGTAGCAGGGAGGGATTTGGAGTGGCATGGCTTTTTCTCGTTTGGTGGAGAAGAAGCGCAGGTCTTTCGGAGACACCAGGAAGAAGAGAGGGTTAGCTAGTTGCTACTCAGCCTCTCTGAGCTCGTGGGTTTTCATCCCCGCCCTGGAATCTGGAGTCTTATTTATACATAGAATGATAGATTTAGTTAAAACTACATTTAGCGGCAGCAACAGGGCCCATGCCTGCGGGAACGGAATTCTCGCCAGGCTGCAGCCAGAGCGGCCATGTTGCTGCTTGTGAAGCAGGCTGGTAACCGTGGAATTGCAACTGTAGGCTGAAATAGCAGATTAAGGTGTGGGTTATGACAAAAATAAAACAGCAGATGGCGTCCTTTCCATGTGTGTCAGACGTGGCCATGCAATGTGAGGGTGGGTTTCCCCTGGTCCTTACCATTGCAACTCTTCCCAAGATTTCACATGTGTTGTATTTCAAAAACCCCTCAAACAATGAAGTGTGCCTTAGTGACCCCTTTCAAGAAAGCTACCTGCCAAGTACACTCACTGATTTAATATCAGGTCTTCCCACAAAGAATTTCTAGACCAACTTACCAGAAAGAGATTTTATTCTGGTTTTGAATCACAGCCCACTAAAATGGACTTGTGCTTCCAGCAGGTCAAGGGCACACACGTGACTATGACAGCATTACATGAGGTCACAGAGGCCAGGCCTCACTGCTTAGGGAAGCTCAAAGGCTGTCTAGGCACCAACACAGGCATATTTTGGACTCATTCTTAGGGGAAGAATCTGAAGGTTTCAATTATAATCGTTTCGTGGGAATGACTCACACCCAGTGGTCCTCCTGCAGGGGACTTCACCTCGGAGATGAGGAAGGCTGGTGGGGACAGGGCCTACTCATCCCAAGTGGACAACGTTCAGACCTTGGTCTGTCATTTCTGCTGCTCACTTTACCAGCATTCTCTTGTCAAGACTTGCAGAGCTCCATCTCTAAGCCCCTCAAGGCACGTGAGTGGCCAGGCCCCTCCCCCGAGGACCTCCATCTGCCAGGTTCCACCCACAGAACACTCTTAACTGCCCTAATGGCTCGACCCTGCCCCCCGCCGCCATAGAGCAAAAAGCCCAAGGTCTGGACTTGAAATCCCAGGAATCCCTACCCGGGAAGCTTCACCCTGAAAATGCCCCCTCTTCCCAAGAAACTCTATGAAAACCCCGCCTTCTGCTCGGTTCTCTGCTGCTTCTCACCTGAGCAGAGGCGGCCGCTCTCCAGGTTGTTTCCCTCCCACTAAATCTCTTGTGTGAGGTTTGTTGTGTGGTGTGACTTTGTGGTATTCCTTGGTTCCCGACTACCAGGATACCTACCACCAGCTGCAGCACCGTGGGTTTTGGGTACAGAGCTGATTGGAAATTTTGGCCTCTTACCTGTCCCTTCACCATCATTAAACACAACTTGGAATGGGATTTTCCGGAAAGCAGGATGCCCTGAGGTTTTCCCTCCTTGGCCCCGCGTGGCGCTGATGACTTCTGAGACCGTCACTCACCGAAGAACAGCGTAACAGCAGAGCTTCACCCTGCTTCATTTTGGAAAGTGGAGTCAGGTGCTGGCTCTGTCTCAGCTGCCGTCTCCTTTTCTAACAAATACAGGTGAAGATTAGTGGAGGAAAACAAGACACACCCCACACACACATACACATTTACACACAGAATTGTCCTTAATATATGAACACACGTTCAATAAGTAAAAGTACAAGCATGAAAAGTACATGCCAGATTGGTGTTTTCTGTGACATCTTTAGCATCAGTTATTCAAGACCAATGGTCCCGTGAGTAGAATAAATACGGTTGTTGCCAGGAAGCTTCATCTCTAGAGAAGGTCAAGGATGAACAAACCTACCTATGTCGGGGAGCATGTGCTCCCGAAGGGCATGTCACTGGCGGGTAGTGGAAATAGCTGATCTTCAACCTTCTGTGGGCCAGAGCCTTGACTCAGTCCAGGTGCTGAATGGACAGGTTCCTCCAGAGACCTCCCCCTGAGACTTGATATGACATGCCACTCTGCAGATGTTCTTGCATTTCTGCTGCTCTGACGTCTCACCAGGAATCCTATCATGTTAGATCACAGACATATCATATCAGGAACCAGTCACCCCATTTAGGTCGACTTATGAACAGTATGTCACAGGGAATATGGATGTAGCTTTCAGCCTGAAAGTATGTGAATCTCCCAACCCACCAAGCAGCCATCTTGCCCAACTTTTAATAGGTGCGCAGCCAACCCCAGTGGACACTGCGTTGCCCTCACACCGAGGCCTACTGCTTTCCCATGGCAATGACTCCTACTCTTTTGTCAGAGTGGCCTGACATCACTGATTCTGAGAATCTTAAAGGGTGCCCAGGCATTCCAGTTGCTATGGACCACGCACATTTTCTAACTACTGATTTCAAGCGCCCTAAAAGAGGCTCAGACAATTATTAGCCTACGACTTGTCTCAGTTGCTTCCCTGGGAACTGCCTACACCTTCCTCTCTGTCAGGACATTGAGCCCCGGGAGGGAAGGCCAGGTGACAGCGCCTCATCTGTCTCTCACAATTCCCAGCGTCACTCGGCCCCGCCATGTCAGCTGAGGCTTTGTCCGCTTGGTTCCCTTACTCTCAGGCTGCCTCTATTGTTTCTGGGTAGAGGGAAATGAAATCTTTGACCCACAGGCATGCCCGTCAACACCATTCCATTTTAAACAAGTCATGACAGGCTGCATGCCCGACAGCTCTTCTAGCGCAACAGAGAGCCCAACTGGGCTCCTCCCTGCTACCACCACAGCTGTGCTTCCTCGTGAAGGCTGGGGGAAGCAATGAATGTCCATGCATCCCCACAGTGAGCTGAGCCTGTTGCCCAGGCCCAGGGACTCTGCTGCTGTGGCAGAGTGTTTCCTGTAGCAGTGTGCTGAGCCCAGAGTCACCCTGTCTCAAAACAATAAGGAGGAATGGAATTGAGAAAGTCACCTGATATCGATATCTGGCTGTTGCTTGCACTCACACTTGAATGCCTATGTCCTCGACGTGTACTCCCACGTATAATCACCAGAGCTAAGTAACATTTAATTTGAATGGGATAAATAATGCACAAGGTTAGGTAGAGCCCTGCAGTGGGGGTCTACTGCTGGGTCCCCGCCTTCAGTTACGCTCTTGACAAACCATGGGCACAAACGACAAGATGGCTGCTGTGGAGAACAAAGTCCCTCGACCTCTCCGGACAACAGGACTCTGAGAAGCATCTCCTACCTGCCTGGACACTGTGGACTTCCATAGCTCACAGTTGTTCCTGGATCAGGGCACCACAGCAAAGCTTCATCTGCAACCTCTCTGGAGCCGGAGTCTTTTCAGGTTGTGCAGGCTGGGTGTGGTCATTCTGCGGCCTCTTTCTCTGGTGACTTGTGGATGTCATCTCCCTGTGTCCTTCCATGCCTGGTTCCTCTGCACACATCCCTCTGATCCACATTGCCACCATCTCTTCTTAAAAACAGGCACTGCACTGTCCTGTTTGATAAAAGATACTTCTGAGCCCCCGTTGTGACTCAGCCTCTAAGGCTCCTTCCTCACTGTCCATCATGCTAGGGTTAAATTAGTTCTTCATTCCAGAAAGGGGGAATCCTGACCCACCACCACACCACCCTGACCTCCTGACCCACCACACAACCCTGACCTCCTGACCCACTATACAGCCCCCACCTCCTGACCCACCACCACACAGCCCCAACCTCCTGACCCACCACACCACCCCAACCTCCTGACCCACCACACAGCCCTGACCTCCTGACCCACCACCACACAG